AAATGTTCAATGCTTGATAACTACCATTGAACATTTCATTAAAAATGAAATTTCTATTTTTTTAGCTAATGACATGTTTACCATTAACTAAAAGAATTAGAATAGTTCGAGATATATTTGAGAATTTATTGCAATGGGCATTTGGTGGAATAAATAAAAAATAAAAGTGATAAAATAGTAGAAAAAACTCACAAATCAATATATAGAATCTATTTGACTATGAGAGATTATATCTCTAGATTATAACACTCTCTTCTCTCTCTTTTCTCTCTGTGCGAAACCCTATGCCAATGGCTGCCTCGCCGTCGGCGGACCGGTCGGCTGGCGAAGGCTCTTCATGAGCTCAGTTGTTCGTAGTTGCGCCGGAGAAGAGGCTTACCTTTCGTCCTCCGAAGAGGGTGAATGATGGATTCCGTATTCCGCCGGAGATTAAGGAGAAAGGTGCCGCGCGATGGAAGGACTCTCTCATCGGTCAGTTTGTGGGAACTCGCCCTAAGATCCCGGCGCTACAGTCCTGGGCTAATAAGCTCCGGGGGAGAGATGGACTGGTACGTGTCTCACGATTTGGTTGAAGGCTATTTGTCTGTCAATTTCCGTCTGCTCGTTCCTGTGATTGGGTTTTTAAATCGGGGCCTTGGCATCATATGGGTAATCCGATCTTCTTTCATAAGTGGGAAGCTGGGATTCAGCCAATTTCGCCCAAGGTAGAGACGCTGCCGACATGGGTTCGAATTTGGGGTTTGCTGTTGGAATATCGAGGTCAGGATGGAATTGAGTGGGTGGCTAGTAGGATGGGGAAGCCATTATGGAATGATCAGAAAACAAGGTTTGGAGATCAGTTGGGGTACTCTAAGTTATGTGTTGAATTAGGGGCTGATTTTGATTTCCCGTCCAGAATCAAGCTGTATCCTGATAATGATCCAGGTTTTGAGGTTAAGGTGGAATATGCGCAGCTTCCTAAAGTCTGTTCTAAGTGTGGCCTCTTTGGACATAGTTGTCAACAAGTCTCAGAGAAAGAATGTTGTGTTAAGGCAGTTGTTGGTGATAATGTTGACAAGGTAGAAAAGGTGGATGATCTGGGAGAAGAGATTATTACGATAGAAGTGGGGGTTGAGGGAACTATGCCAGAGGAAACAGTGCAGGAAAATTGCAACCAAATAGAGGAAAATCCCTCAGAGACTACAGTTCAGGAACAACAAGTTGTTGCTACGCAAATAGCTACTACTAATAGGGGCTCTGTAGATGCTGAAAAGGCTCCTCCTCCAATAGGGAGCCCTCCCTTGAGTTTTGCTCTGGTAGTAATTGGGTCATCAACTCAGGTTGGGAGCCCTGTTACTACTGTGCATGAGGCTGAGAGGGATAAGTCACCATCTTCTAGGAGCTTGCAACCTCAGTCCACTCAGGGAGGACAAAATTCAAGGACCTCTTCCACACAGGATAAAGGGAAGCGCATTTGGGTTGATTCACCTCAAGTACCTCAGTTTAATGGAAAGAGAGGAGGTAAAGGTGGTAGGGGTCGTGGAAAGAAATGAAGATCATGACATGGAATACTCGAGGGTTCAAGGCAGATGGTAAATATACAGCATTACTTAGGAAAATAAATAAATACAATATAGATATAGTAGCTATTTTAGAGCCTCGAATAAGAATCTCAGAAACTGAAAAGCTTATCAAGAAAAGGTTTCCTGACTGGGAATCTAAAGTCAAGCATAATCCAGCAGGGTTCGGGAAGATTTGGTTTCTCTGGAGGAAAGAAGTAAAGCTTAGTGTTCTCCTTTCATTGGATAAGTTTGTTCACTTTCTGGTAGATGATGAGCAGAAGTTCTTTGGCACAGTGGTTTATGCATCAAATGATGAGAGGTCTAGGGTCTTACTGTATAATAAGATCTCAAGGATACAAGTCAGAAGCCACCCTTGGGTGGTGTTGAGGGATTTCAATGATATCAGGCATCCTTCTGAAGCATCAAACAGTCCTCAGCCAAATTCTAGCATGCATTTTTTCAATCAGTGTATTGTTGACCTTGAGTTAGAAGAGCACCAAGCTACTGGTCCCTAGTTCACATGGTTAAACAAGCATACAATAAGACCTATTGCAAAACTGCTTTATAGATTTTTAGTCAATTTTGAATGGTTAGAGCATATGAGAGATAGTAAAGTGCACTTGCAAAACCCTGGGGTTTCTGACCACTGTCCTATGTTTGTGGAAACTGAGATGGATTTGAAATCTCTGCCTAAGCCATTCAAGTTTTTCAACTTCTGGTTGCAGCACCCAAAATTTAATAGTCTTCTTGAAGAGGCTTGGAGTAGTAGGGTCACTGGCCACCCACTAATAAGAGTTTGTAAGAAGCCGAAGAACCTGAAAAACCTATTGAGGAAGCTGAATAAAGAGGAGTACTCAGATATTAGAGGAAGGGTCAAGGAGAAGGAAATTGAGTTGGATTTAGTCCAACAGAAAGCCCTAGCTGATCCCACCCCAGAGAACTTTGAAGTTGAGGGTGCTGTGATGAAGGAGCTTACTGATCTTTTGTATGCTGAGGAAAGTTTCTTGAGGCAAAAGTCAAGAGAAATTTGGCTTAAGACTGGTGATGTAAACTCTGCTTACTTTCATCGTTCGGTTAGATCTAAACAGAGAAGAAGCACAATTCGAGTCTTTAAAGATGAGGATGGGTCAAAACCCAAGATGTGGATCAAATGGCTCAGATTGCTGTTAGGTTCTACGGTAACTTACTAGGGAAACCAGACCCTGAAGTTGTACCTCAGACTGACGACTATTATGATATGTTGTTGAAAAGGAAACTCACACAGGAGCAGACTGAGGGAATTTGTGTTCCCTTCACTGAAGAATAGATCAAGGAAGTCTTATTTGAAATGAATGGTGATAAAAGTCCGGGTCCATATGGCATCACAACTGCTTTCTTCCAGTATGCTTGGCCTCTAATTGGTCACGAGGTAACATCTGCATTCCAATATTGCTTTGAACAAAATAGTATTCCTATACCAATTAATGCTACAATACTGGCTTTAATTTCTAAAGTCCCAAACCCAGATGAAATGAAGAATTTCCATCCCATCTCGTGCTGCAATATACTCTACAAATGCATATCTAAATTGATAGCAAAGAGATTTAGTGCTTTTCTTCCCTTCTTAATCAATAAGAATCAAACTGCATTTGTGAAGGGTCGACTTATTGGTGAAAATATACTCCTTGCTCATGAGCTGGTTGCCAAGTATTCTAAGCAGAAAATCTCCCCAAGATGTGCTATCAAAATAGACCTCATGAAAGCATTTGATTCAGTAGATTGGAATTAGTTTTAAAGAGTATGGGGTTCCCTGAACGATTTGTATCTTGGATAAAAATGTGTGTGGGTACTCATATGCTTAGTGTCAGTTTTAATGGGGGAGTTGTTGGTTATTTTAAGGCTAGTAAGGGTTCCAGGCAAGGGGATCCTCTCTCCCCCTACCTGTTTTCTGTTGCTATGGAAATTTTTACATGTCTGCTGGATAGATCTGCTAATGAAGGGCATTTTCCTTTCCACCCACGGTGCAAGAAAATCAAACTTACACATCTCTGTTTTGCGGATGACCTTTTGGTCTTTTCTGATGCTTCAAACTGTGGAATTATAGAACTTCAGAGGGTTCTTAGTCAGTTTCGAAGAGTGTCAGGTCTCAAATCAAACCCAAGTAAATGTGAGGTGTTTTTTGATGGGTTAGATAGGGAGGAGAAAGGTATAAGGGCTTCCAGATATGGCTATCAGCTTGGTGAATTCCCAGTGAGATATTTGGGGTTTTCTCTCATTTCAGGCAAACTGAGTCTTGCTGCTTGCAAGCCTCTCATTGACAAACTGGTGGTAAAAGTAAGAAGTTGGCAAGAAAAAACTCTATCTTATGCAGGTAGAATTGAGCTAGTAGGAACTGTCCTATACAGTTTGACACAATTCTGGATGTCACTGTTCTTACTCCCCAATGCCATTATTAAAGAGATTGAACAGATTTGCAGTCTATTCATATGGGGGGTTGGGACGGGAACAAAGTTGACAGCTAATTAACATGATCTGGCAGAAACTGACTTTCCCAAAGAAAGAGGGAGGTCTGGGACTTGGGGATATGAGCAGTTGGAATGTAGCATGCATGGTTAGGCATATCTGGCTTATATTGTTGAAAGAAGGCTCGTTGTGGGTAGCTTGGATCTATGCTTATAAACTCAAGGAGCATAACTTCTGGGATTACACATGTAGTACTGGCTCTTGGAACTGGAAGAAGATTATTAAAATCAGATATAGAGTGAACAATTTGCTCTCTCTAGACAGTTATACAATCTGTTTAATGGTGCCCCCAATGCATTCTTTTTCGATTAAGAAGGTTTGGAAATTATTAAGGCCTACTCAACAAATAGTTCCCTGGTGGAAACTTGTATGGAAAGGGCAGGCTATCCCAAGAACTAGAGTCATTTCCTGGATGATTATTAAGGGCAGCATTAATTAAAGGAGAAGGATGTTAAAATGGGGTTATCAGGGTCCTTTGAATTGTTGCCTCTGTGATGCAGGTATGGAGGATAGAGAGCACCTGTTTACGGATTGCTTTTATTCGAAGTCTCTGTATGATGGTCTCCTTAGTAGATCATTGAAGAGTTCTATTATACCTGGTTGGGAAGCTGCAATGACGCAGTGGACTGCTAAACTTTCTGCTACTACTGATACTACTAAAGTTGGGCGAATGATCTGGCAGTCCTGGCTGAGCCACATAAGGAGGGAACGTTGTAGCAGGATGTATGGTGGAGTTAAATGTAAAGCTGGGGTGCTGATAAAGGTAATAAAGTATGAAGTGGAGCTGGCGGTAGGGAAACAGAGAACCCTGAGATTCTGGAATTCTTGATGGCTTTTTGATTTCTGAGAGGCAGAGGCTTCAGTTTTTTGCAGTTGGTTTCCAGTTTTGATTGTGGTAATTAAAGTACTATAGGCCTAGTTAGCAAGGCTGTTGCTAGCAACACTTTTTGATGAAATGCAAACTCAAACCATTTATTAAAAAAAAAAAATTCCAACTTTCTAATAAATGTATGATTGAATGAATTCATTAATTTTTTTTCCAAACGACCCCTAAAGCACAATTTTTAGTGGATGAGATTAATGAGACTATATAAAATAGGTTTAATCGGCTGACCTTCGGAATCGTAGCTATAGCTAAGATAGCATTTACTCAAATACACTTCACCGGTAACAGAGCTGCCGCATTTCTCCTCCGCGATCTCCGCCGCGGCATGGACGCATTGGCCGCAATCGCAAGCTCCCAAACCCCCTTCGCACTGCGCCACCACTTGCACGTGCTCGATCTCCTTCTCGCAGAACCCAACCTCCGCTTTTGCCAGCTGCGCCTCCACCGCCGCGAAAGCCGCCTCCCTCGCCGTCTTGAAATCGCTGGAGTTGTCGCTCTTGCTGCTGCATTTCTCGTGGAGCAGCTCGGACTCGTAATCATCGCTTCTCCCTCCGCCGCCCTCCGACGGCCAGAGCTCATGTTCCGGAAACCCATCGGTTTCGTAGCGCAGATAGCAACCCGAGAGCTGGACCCTCGCCGCGACAGCTTGCCCGCAGCGGCTGCCCAATGTCTCCGGAAGCCCGCCGACGCAGTGTTGGCAGTCGTCGTTTCCCAGATCGCCTCTGCATTGGAAGAGGCCGGAGATCCCTAGGTTCTCGTCGCCTGCAGTGGATTTGAAGAACTTGGAGCGATAAGACTCCGTGAGGAGTTGTTGGTAAAGCGCGGAAAGCGTTCGATGATATGCCTCAGTGGCTCCCGTGAAACTCTGATTTGCGCATTTGGTATATACCAAGGAGCTGGAGTCGGAACTGGTTCCAGAATATGGGTTAGAATGGCCAAGACTCATAAGCAATAGTAAAACCCAGAAGATGGGTTTCAATGTAGAACCTGAATCCATCAAGGAGTTTTGCTCTGTTCTTTCTTATGGGACTCTGTTTTGTTTCCAGGGGAAAGTAGAGGAGGGCTGAAGGAAGCTCATGTGCTGTTGAGAATAGTGACCCAGAATATGGTTTCAGAGTGGTTCTGGTGAGAAATCTTGATGGGTTTTTGCTCGAGCCAATCAAAATATTTGGCAACAAGTGTGTGTGCCTCTTGTGAAATCTGCATCCATATATGTTTGGGGAAAGAAGTTGGTGTGTGCTGCCGAATTTCCAACCTAAATCCATCGATCTGTGAAGGTAGGAATTCAAAAAAAAGCAGGACGAGAATGGGCAGCATCCAGAATTTCAAACCAATAACATCCAATATAGGCTCTTTTGTTGCTTGAGAAGGATCGAATTGGTTGGCAGCCTGACGACGAAAGGCAGACGGTGAACGATGCTGAAACCACACCAATATTGTATGCTGTGAGACTAATTGACTGCAATCTTCTTGTTCTTCCCGACTCCAGAGAATGATCTATAAGCACCACGCAATCATCGGCAAACCCACTTGAGGATTTTGTAGAGTATAAATTGGTTGCTTGTGGCCTAGAAAACAGGGATTGGCAGGATTTTGTGTCAAGTGACAGGTACATCGTGGTCTTTAATTTTTCTATTGTCGCGAGAACTAAATTTGCTATACCATGATCATATGGTGAGTAGTTTAATTGATGGCAAAGTGGGTTCGTTATAATATTGTCTGTGGTCTGGATTTCAGAGTAATAGAAATTTGGTTGGCAGACCTACAACAAACAATTATCCTAATAATAGATATGGTTTCTATCATTGATGAACAAAATTCATGTCTACTTGGAGAAATATGGTTTCTATTATTGATGAACAAAATTTCGATCTACTTGGAGTTGCTGAATTTCTTTTCGACTGCAGTCTCTCTTTCTATTGGATAACATGTATGGGATTTTTGGCGAATCAGATTTCACGTGCTAAAATTGGAGTACTTGATTATTATCTTGGGAGAAGTATGAGGATTGTGATGTCTGGGACACATGATGAAGCTAATGTTGCAGTCAGCTTAGTTCAAGGCTCCATCTACTTGCTCAATGACTGCATCCCGTCGCTTCTTTCTATTCTACTAATTAGCCGCTTCAGGTACCACTTCTTTTACTCCTGTCAGCTGAAGTTTTGGAGCACCGTAAATGAAGCAATGATGCAACCATTCTCAAAGCATCAAAGGTTCTTAGCAGAGAGATATTGTTAGTGCATATATGCAGAGAGATACCTTGGTCCTTGGTGGGATTGACTTAATCCGAGGAAATGCTTCGTTCCTGCTTTCGTTGGGACTTGAGAGTACCACTTTTCTTGTGAAGGTATGAGCGGTATCAGGAGAAGCAGCTTCAGAGAACTCAAGCCATGAGCATTAGATAGGTGCCTTCCCAGATAAACCACTATTATTGGTCGAATCAAATTCTTGTCCAACCTCGGTAATTAATCCTCGGACACCTTCGTTGAAATACTAACACACTAAAGAATCATGAATGGTAATTTCTTGGCTTCATTTCAGTGGCAAGAGTCTATATTGTACACGATATTGATTGATTGAAATTTCATTTATAAAATATGTATACCAAAATCCATCATTTCTTTGAACAGTTTGGCGATCCCCCAATAGTTGGGGGCGCTTCCATATCATGTATTCAGGCATCTTAATACCATGGCACTTCTACAATTGGGTTTACTCTTTTGGGTTCTGGCTATAACGCCATAGAGTAAAGGGTTACACCACTTCCACACAAAAAAAGTCACTCTACCTCCCATTGATTCCATCATTCCATTGTTGCATTTCACTTGAAATGCAGAGCTTCTTTAGGCTTTTCCCAAGAGAGACAACACTGTCGCCGTGATTTGCTTCGATGACAGTCGCGCTTCTTGAATCCGATCTTGAGGTAATCCACACTCAATGTACCTATCTGGAAGCACCATTGCTCGCAACTGCATTAATACAAACACATAGTAAAAAAATTAGAACAAAAAAAACTAAGAATGAAATGGGATCAGTGAAAATGTTAGCTAATTACATTAAGGGATCTATCTAGAATCCCACTCAAGCTCATGAATAAAACGCATGAGACCCAACCCATCAATCAAACCTTCTCCCACAGTAATCAGAATCTCATCGCGCCAACTCCCTCATAAGCTCAGTGTCCAAAGGCTTGCAGAACCTCTCGTCAGCTACCGTTACATGAATATCTATGCGCTTTAGCATTCCTCCAGCTTCAACACACAGTTGCACTATAGCTCTATCACTCAATATAGCAATTCTAGTTCCTTCCTAACTACCCTTCCTTTGCCAACCTTAAGCGGAGTTCCTTAGTTGTTGAGTAGGAGAACTGCTGCAATTTTGTTCCCTGCTGGAAACCTGAAGTAGCTCATCCTATTGCCCTGTTGCAACCCTGTGCATCATCTCAGCTTCGTCCGTTGGTGCTATAACCACCAAGTTTGGCAAACAGGCCATGTAGGCAATGTAGAATGCTCAACAGAGAGTTGGTCCATCCCCCTCAACCAAACCAGCTCTGTCCATAGCGAACCAGCCTGGTAGCTTCTGAAGATCGACATCATGTACTACCTTCATTTTTTAAATGGACCAGTTTGTTACAACATGAGTAGAATTTTGTAAGTTGAAAAATCCTAGTTGTTGTAGATTTTTACCTGATCATATCTTTTTTTTAGGAAAGATGAGTAGATGGCATGGAATGGCTTAAGATATTCAGGAGAAAACCCAGCTGCAAAGGTGACAACATGTTGCTCAGTGATCCCCACGTCAAAGCATCAATTGGGAACTTCTTCTCGAAATAGTTGAGACCAGTCCCACCACCCATTAGCATGAATAGCTAATATTTTGTTGTCTGCCTTAGCTTCTCTGACAAATGATTTAGCAAAGTATCGACTGTGTGGAAGGTAGAGGATTTCGGCTTGAATTGCTGCCCCGTTTTCACATCAAACTTCACCACTCCTGGAAAAAAAGACAGTTCAGAAGAGATATTTAACGGTCTTGTTAATAAGATCTTCCAAGCATCACAATGTGAAGATCATTATGCAAATAGCATGAAAATTCACCATATAGTTGAAATATATTTTATCAGCAGCAGGCTCAGCAGGAGGATACCCTTTCCACTTCTCGGTCACAATATGGATCAAAACAGATCCTGAAGGGCTAGGTAGATAGCAGCTACTACGAACAACCTCAACCTTGCACCAATGCCTTACAGTCCGCCTACTTCTTAAAAATTCACTTCAGCTCGCACCAAAGCAGAACACCATAAGCCGAAGTAACAAATAATCTTTAAAAATCAATCCATCGACCTTTTTAGAGCAGAACACCACCCTTCACCCCATGATCCACAGAACCATTAGAGTACGAAGGCATAAGTTTAAGAGGCTGAGACCGAGATGTTCAACAGGAGCTCAAGGAGAGCTAGTAGGGACTTTTGGAATCCATGATTTCTTGCTGTTCTTCGTTGAAGGGCCAACTCTTCCATCATCAAGCAATGACTCCGTGGAAGGCGGAGTAGTAATTCAGAAACCAGAACTGGAACAGAAACACAAAAGAATGGATTCATTATTTGAGATGACAGAGCTTGCAGCCTTTGAACAAACTACATATCCTGAGAATTTTAAACTGCAACTGACTTATTGTCCTAATTCATTCACTCCCACCCCAAACAAAAAAGCAAATCAAAGGAACATTACAAATTCTAGGATTCGTGTACCACACAAAAATCAAGCAGAGACAAACAAAGCCTTCCCTCCAAGATTCAATATAAGATTTGCTCATTACTCGTACGAAGTAAAAACCGTACGAATAACTGTCGGGGCCATTGCCGAGAGGTGAAAGTCCCAACAAATTCAGTCTAGTGTTCCTTGAGCGTCTTCTTTTCTTTCTCTCTGTTTGTCTTTTTAGTTTATCTAGCTGAAGTTATTCCAGCAGCAAAACAAAGAGAGATGGGAATGAGGTGGGCAAACACTTACAGAGCAGGGCTCAAGAAGTACTTCGCAATGACACCTTGTCTGGCGGATCTCCTTCTCGTCGCCTTCGTTCTCACTGTGCTCCTCCTGTTCCAAATCGATTCCGTATTCCTCCACGTTTGAGTTTCCATGGCGGTCGGCAGCAGGAGAAAACTTTAGGGTTTGCGTTGCAGAGAGAAGAAGGGGGTTATGGAGAGGGAAGAGAGGAAAGCAAAGAGGATGCTGTAATTCATGGCAGGGGCGGACCCTGGTAAATTTCGGGGAAATGATTATCCAACCCGCTGGTAATTTACGTATAGACAAAAAAAATATAATTGATAGTGAGGGACACCCCTGAAATTTGAAAAAATGATTATCCTACTGTCATTTGTGTATAAAAATATAAATGGTAGGTTGGGTAATTCAAATCTAGAATACTATTATTATTAATAAACTTAATTTCCGTTGAGCTACAACTCATTTGTTGTTAGATTTTGAACAATGTGTAATAGTAAAAATTCATTTCCTATCTCTAATTATTTCAATCTAAACTAATTTCAATCTACCCTTAATTTGTATTGATTTTATGATTGTACGGCAAGTGTTGAAGAGTCTTTCAGCTTTGGGTTACGTCAAGAACAAGTTTACAAATCGAATATGCGATAAGTTCCTGAATGATTGTCTAGTAGGGTATATAGAGAATTTTTTTAACACTATAAACACCAAGTGTATTCTACAATTATTTTCGAATATGAAAACACATTATGGAATTTTTTAACCTGTACGAGTAAGGTATTTTCATATTTATGATTTTATTTTTATTAATTATTTTTATTTTTATTTAATTTATTTTTTAAAAGAGGACACCCCTACGAAAAATTTCTGGGTCCGCCACTGATTCATGGTGTGTGGGGAAGAAGATGAAACTGAAGTGTAAGCGAGAGCTCAATGGTGAGGAAATTGGGGAATGGGGGCCAAGCTTTGCCTCGGTGAAAATTGTTAGAGAAGAAAGCGGAGACCGCACTGATTCCGAGGCCAGAGGACAGAGGATGTGACCACACGGAACATGTGGCGTATCGTGTTGAAAGAGCTAGCGAGTTCAAGAAGCAACCTGCAGAGACGGACTGACGAAAAGGAGGTGTTTGTCCCGGGAATTGGGGGGAAAGGACGTTGAGTTGAGAGCTGCTATGTACGAAAGATCTGTCGTGGCAGAGGCGAGGGAAAAGGGGAGTGAAGCCGGGTAGCCTTCCCAGCAGAAAGATGAGCCATTTGAGAATCGAAAAGAAAAGGAAGTTAGGAAACGACAAAATAATGTACAGTAGCATTGCATTCTTGGCCAATAAAGTGTACCCACTTTTTACGTTTTAAAGAATGCCCACGTTTCCATATATAGATGAGTTAAATTAATATATTATTAATCAATTAAATAAAATTAATTAATAATAATAATGCTAATAATAATGGGAATTCCTACAATACCTTGAAGTAAGGTAACTTGATTATTTTCACCTGCTATAACAGATTTCACAGGTTGCATTACGTAAAACACAATAGACATTACGTAATGCTTACGTAACGTATGTGTAACTTACGTAACAGTTGTAAAATTTCATTACGGAAGCCTTCCGTAATGGAGGGTACTTTTAGGTAATGAGTATTTACATCGCGTTACGTAAAGTGATAAGTCATTACGGAAGTCTTACGTAATGCTTCTAATTTAACTATTACGTAAGAAATAACTATCATTACGGAAACCTTAAGTAATGAATGGTCCTTTTACGTAATGAAATTAACCGTATGTTACGTAAAGTGTTAAGGCATTACAGAAGTCTTACGTAACGCTTATGATTTAACTATTACGTAAGAAACAACTATCATTACGGAAGCCTTACGTAATGGATGTGTATTTTAAGTAACAGTTCTAAAATGTCATTACGTAAGCCTTACGTAATTGAGGCTTCTTTTATGTAATGAATATTTATCTTGCGTTACCCAAAGTGTGAAGTCATTGCGGAAGTCTTACGTAACGCTTCGGATTTAACTGTTACGTAAGAAACAACTTCATTACGGAAGCCTTACGTAATTAATGTGTAGTTTACATAACAGTTGTAAAATGTCATTACGGAAGCCTTACGTAACAGAGGCTTCTTTTACGTAATGAATATTAACCTTGTGTTATATAAACTGTGAAGTCATTACGGAAGCCTTACGTAACACTTCTGATGTAACTTTTACGCAAGAAACAATTGTCATTACGGAAGCCTTAAGTAATGAATGATTATTTTACGTAATGAAATAAATGAATATTAACGCCACATTACATAAAGTGTTAAATCTCGTCAAGGAAGCCTTACGACATAACACTTGCGATTTAATTATTACGTAAGAAATAATTTTTTTCTGTTACTTTTATGTGATGGGTATGTATTTTACGTAACCGTTGTAATATTTCAAAAAATATTTTATATGAAAAATATTAGTCATGGCGTTTGTTTATTTTTAGTAAATAATTGGTAGCACATGAAATGGCACCAAACGTCCAAACCTTTGACTAATTTATAATTTAAAATATTATAGAATTT